CTTCGGCTTTCTCCCGGATAATGTTGAATAGCTGGCCTATGATTCTGTCATCATATTTATCCTTCAGTCCCCTGGCTAACTTCTCGATATAGTTTTCCACCAACGACACCGTTGTGTTTAAAGATAGAGTACGTGCATCTTTTGTTATCAGACTGCGGGTCACAAACGGAACTGAGAGGGTCGAGGTGACCAACTGCCATCCATTCAAGTCCAGAGTACATCCCCATCTACGCAACACGTCCATTCCCAATATTACATCGCATGGAATAGCCTCAGAGATAATCATGGAATGCTTCTGTGCCTGGCCCGCTAGTGATATTGTAGCAACCGTCGTCCCCAGGACGGATATCGGCGCGCCGCTGGCCGCAGTGAGACATTCGAGACATGGACTCACTGTATACCCCTCCAATTTACGCAGAACTGAAACTTTAAAGAGTGATCGGGAGGCACCTGTATCTATCAGCGTAAGCACATAAGGTTACAAATTGCTATCTCGATCATCAACGTGTCCTGGCTATTCGACTGGCAGCAAACGGTGGGGATATTCAACGTTTTGTTTTGATTGGACTCACCAGGTGGTCGTCCACCGTAGTTGGATGTCCTGTTTTACCAAGGGGCTGGTGGTCTGTGCTGGAACCGATAGTTGGACCGCCATGGTCGTCGCATTCCTCGGCTTCTGTGCCACGCTTGGTGTCCGACTTCTTATGCCCCATGGTGTCCCACTGCTAGGCATTCTTGGATTGCTGCTGTGGCCGCCTCCAGCTTCTCCAGATGTTCTACACGTTTGACAGCCATCTTCAAGTCCGCTAGTGGGTGCAGGAGCAGATCACGTCGTACATTATTGGATATGGACCCCTCGACTAGTTGCTCCAGCAGCTTCTCCAGTTCCGTGGGCGTACCATTTTCCCATGCTCTGTTGGTTAGTTGGCGCAATTCCCCCACAAAACTTTGCACGCCCTCACCGTCGTATTGATGCCGTACGTTGAATCGCTTCCTATATTCCATGGGCAGCAGGGGTAAATTTAATAACCGTCGAAGGCACGCAAATGTTTCGGCTGTGACGCCCCCCTTCATGCAGTCCGCCTCGGTCACCACATCAAAGGCCTCTCCACCGGGTAAAGATAACACCAAATTGGGATGACGTTCAGGTGGAAAATTTTCAAGATATATTTTCACCTGCTTCTCCCACCGCTGACAGTTGTCTCCAAAATTGTACTTCTCCGGGACGGAGCAGGCCGCCGTTGGTCCCATGGTGGATAGTTTTTCTAATCGTTCCGTTAGCGCACTCAGAACATTTGCCAGCTGCGTGCCGCCAGTGTCCACCGTCTGCGCGGTCGCGTCTTTACTTTTCGGAGTCTTCAGCATATTCAGAGATTGATCCTGGCAGGGTCGTCAATTTTGTAACAGGCAATCACGGGAGAAGACTCTTGAAGAATCAGGAAATTATATTGTACGTATCTGCAGTGCGCCTTCACTTGTCTCCGGGTTCTTCGTCTGTCGTTTGGCGATCCTTCAACGTTGTGGTAATGATTGGATAAACTGCAACGCAAAGGAAAGGCAGCTCCGTCAGAACCTCACAGTTCAGAATGCCCGGTCTAAATCAAATAGTGATTTTCTCTACAGTACCACTCTGAGTTCACTGGTGACCATGAAGTTAAAAGTATGTTGCGCTACAGTGTGAAGTGGAGCATTAAAACAAAAACATACTCCGCTCAACAATTTTCCATTATACTTCATTTTCATAAACATCATGACCATGTTTCCAGATCTCATTTTGTATTATATGAAGCCACTATTGTTGTAACTCGCCTGCCATGATCGTGCACTACGTACATCCCTTATTGTACTCCGAGAAATATACCATTATGAGATCTTGATTAGATTAGATGGCATCGACTAGAACTTGGACAACCCTTGCTTCAAGTTCGCGGACTACGTAAACATCGGTGGCCCGGTTGATGCATCAGTGCAGCAGGATCTGAACAAAGTCCAGCAGCAGGTAAATGACTGCCAGTTTCCGCTCAGTGTGCACAAATGCCTCCACAAAATGGCTGCAGACACCGAACAGACCGTGCGAAAGCTGGAACGAGGAATTAATACTACAGCTTTACCAACAAGGCTCGCCACGAAGGACCATGGAGTGACGATCCGATTGGAATTCCAGTCTCCAGTACAATGTGAAAGGTCAACCCTGACTGCATCAAGGGCACTTTACCAACTGCGTCAAGTATTGAGCTCGACGAAGCAAGATGATGCAAGCATCATCTCCGCCCTAGAATCTTCATAAATACTAATCCCATTGTACGTCAACTAATTCGCACTTGAGTGACGCGTAGCGGAACCCGATGCAAATCCCGAAATAAAACACGATTTTTCCGTAATGTTTTACGGTACTGAATTGGTGAAAACATTACATAATGTACAATGAAGCAAACTTCAAATATGCGGCCAAAAGCACTCAAGCAAGCAAGCCAAATATGATGTTCAAAGAGAGCCAAACAGTCGCTCATGTTCTCTGAACACGTGTGAAGTGGAGCTCACGCGGCACGTAGGAAGGTCCCCAGAAACGCTCTGAAATTGTAGCAATAGAGATGCGTTATCACCAGCACTCGATTACACCTCTCACTGTCAGATACGCTCACACAGGGAAAACACGGTCGTCGCAAACAACGTATATTTATGCACGGAACGCGCGGCAGAAAGCATTTTACAACTGTCTCTGAGGGGGAGGTACACAAGGTTCGTGGTGACTATAAGTTCTCATGTATTTCTTGACTCTTCTGGTTCTTCGTTATTAGTGCTCACCGTGTTCAACCATTGTGCGCCTGAAAGGAACAGAGAACGTAAGGCAATTATTAGTACTGAACATATGCCCGACCATTCAGGTTCAATGCTGTTACACACGCAAAATTCAAAAATGCCGGGCATCGAATTAACAGATAAAGACTAATGTATGATGTTTGTGATTGAGAAGTGCCAATAAAGAGGCAACACACAGATAGAGTTATGTCACCATAAATTATCATGGGTTTGAAAGGATTTTCCAAAATTCAACATAAAATACACCGGCCGCCAAAATCCTTCCTGCGCTCGTCTGAGCCAAAGGGTTGGCGCAGGTCATGTTTCTTGTCTACCTATTTACCTACCTAGTCCCTGCTGTCAGTGCTTCTAACTACGAACTGTTCAACCTTAGCCGCACTCGTTGATCCTCACCTCCGACGACTTGCACGTTACTTCGCCGATATCTGCTTTCTGCATCAGCACACTTGCAGCCAGTCGCACGATAACTTGATAGCAGTGGGTCAAATGAATATCATTACAGATAAAGTCTCGATGTGTAAACAAGGTGGGGGAATGTGGGCGGTGGAATTAATGTTCAAGGTTTACAAATGAAATCATGTTCAGCATGCAGGTGATTGTGCATATGTGAATGGATGTATGTTGTGATTACATGGGTCACACTTTCGAGGTTAATCTCATAAATTGTGTATCAATCTGACAAAAAGACACTCAATCACGAAATGAAATAGATAGGACGTATGGCAAGGACGTGGAAGCACGTGCTCATACAGGTGGGGTGAATGTCAATGGGGCGCAATTGGTACAAGGGGTAGGTAAGTCAATATATACACGGTGGGCATCCGGAACTCCATCAAGTAACGGTATGGTGGTCATCTCCCTTCAATAAATACACTCGTCGAACATCGTTCACCTGTTCACCGGCAGATGTTTTCAATTTCACTGTTCTTACTAGACCATCTGAGTCCGTGTGGCTTTATATGACTGCACCCAGTGGCCAGTCGTCGCGTTGTAACTTTTCGTCGGTCATAAGAAAAACATCTCCGACCTTCAGTGACCGTTCTCTATGCAACCACTTCTGTCGAGCTTGAAGGGTTGGCAGGTACTCTTTTTCCAACGCTTCAAAAACACCCCTGCCAGGTAGTTCGCATGTCTTTGCAGGTCATTGCTGGTGACGGATACAAGCGGTCGGCTTCTATCAGAAATCTACTCAAATTATAATCCTCTGGCGACTGTGGTTCACATAATGCTGTCAATATTTTTTGTACCGACCGTATAAACCGTTCCGAAACTCCTCCGCGTTGACTGCTGTAGGGTGGATTGAAATGCTATCGGATTCCAGAGGGCGACAGTCGGTCTTGCAGGCTGGCCAACGAAGACAGAATTCCTCCGCGAGTCTTTGTCGCCTCAGGTAACTGAAGTTTGAACAAAACTCGTCTTTCTTCGAATCCCATTGCATACCAAGTGCTCTGTCTGTTGGTAACGGACACCCCTGCAAATCACAGAGAGTGGCTGCCTGCTCATCAACTGGGAAGCAATGGATTGCGTGACGAAAGTTGGACATTCGCTTGGTCAACTTGAACACCGCCATGAGGGCAGTTGCGTGGTATCCCAAATATTAGGATTTCTGGAAACGATCGATTTTTAAATGTAGTTTAGAAAAAGCGATGTCGAATTCAGCCAAGATGGGACAGATTTTGCTTTTGGCTGATTCTGAGTGATTTGTTAAAAATTAATTTGTTTTATTCAACTTTAACTAACTTTCTATGGAAAGTATAAATGCTGCAACCTAATGGCGACCATCACTTCAAAACTCATATCAACCACGGCTCAAGTTGACGATGCGGTCGTTTTTGAACGACTGGTAAAAATTGCTATAGATCGCTGGACGGATTCTTGGAGGAGTTCCGTGAATTTCAAAGGGTCACTTGCACTTCCTTCTACGTTTGTGCGTCAATGACAGCCAAACAACTGATCCGGGAAGAAAGTTTGGTCGGAAACTGACTCTGCCGGAGGGTTTTCCGTATTGTTTCATCAAATATTGCTGCGTACATCACAGAAGGCGCGGCGCCGCTGCAACCAGATAATTATGCCTCTCATTTCTAACGTATTTAACCCATTTTAGGCTGCAAAATATCGATTGTCCGGCATTCGTTGGAATTCGCGTGGTCCGGAGGGAGTGCCGATTGATTAAACGTTGTCTGGTGCACAACCATGACTTCCATGTGGGTCATCGGGGTCTGCATATAAGTAATCGTCGTCTACCTGGAGAACAGGAAGCGGAAGTGTGCACGTTGATGGACAATTTTAGAAGTACCCCCGAGCTACGGGATTTCGCCACACAGGTTCCAGAAACTCTTGAATACGGCAGATATAAAATCCATACGTCGAAGAAGGTCTCGGTCGGATTCATGTGGCGATGCGGTGAAAGTTCGGGATATGCTGGAAAATCAGGGAGAGGTTCTCAAAGGGGTAAGCGAAGGCGTCGTTCATCACATTTATTTTGTTCCTAAGATTATGTTGCACTGCGTCGCCAGGTTTAATGGTGTTTTGTAAGCGGACGCTACATATTAGTTAAATTGTGGTCAGTACGTGCTATGGCATGCTATGCTTGTAGACAACACCGGTTTAGGCAGAAGTTTCTTCTACGCTATCTTGCCGAATGAGAGTGGTGAGAGCTATAGATCTGTAGTGGGAGCCATGAGAGGTATGTGCTCAGTCCTTGCACAATGCAAGACTATAGTAATTGACCGTAGCTTTGCTCAGTACAACGCGTTTTCAGAATACTTTCCGTCATCTAATGTGATATTTTGCTGTTTCCATCTCGTTAAGGAAATGAAGAAGAAATGTAACCAGCTATCTGGAATGCCAACGTTCGAAAAGCAGCGCATCTTCCAATGGATGTGCAACATGGTGTACTGTGATAGTGAGATATCGTTTCGTAGATTCTTAGTCGCCGTCGAAAGCTGTAGCACAGAAACAGGTGTTTATTTACGGCAAACCTTTTTTATCGGTAAAGTTTCCATTTGAGGTCGTATGTTGTGGGAGCAATAACGTTTTCGTTTCGTAGCTGATTCTCAGGTGGAATCAACAAGTCGTTTGGAGGAAATTGGCGGATCACTCCACGGGCACGCGGTTTGGAGTTTTTCATGCTATGACCATGACGATTATCCATAGTGTTGCCGACGACTTGTATCAGATGGTTTCAGAATAGTATACAGAATGGCTCTTGACAGTTATATGGAAGGTGCAGTTCTTATTGATGGAGTTTAGCTGCTTTTAAAATTTCACTATGTGCCACTTCAAAAGCAGACAAATGTTAGTTTTATTTGGTAATCATCGCGGATCTTAGGCTGAAAGTTTAGGAATAGTATTTAGAATAGCT